CACAGCTGCGCCATAAGCAACAGCCTCATCAGGGTTAATACTCTTGCACAAATCTTTACCATTGAAGAAAGCCTGCAATAACTGCTGCACTTTGGGAATTCTAGAAGAGCCACCAACAAGGACAACATCATGCACACTGCTTTTGTCCATCTTAGCATCAGTAAGACACTTCTCTACTGTCTCAATGCACTCTTCAAACAGCTCCATATTAATTTCCTCAAACCTTGCACGATTGATTGAAGAGTTGAAGTCTATGCCTTGAAATATAGCATCAACATCAACTTTGGTGGTAACAACACAAGAGAGTGTCCTTTTTGCCCTCTCACATGCAGTTCTCAACCTCCTTAGAGCCCTAGGATTGCCACTAATGTCCACTTTGTTTTTCCTTTTGATCTCTTCTACAAAATAGTTCACCATTCTGTTGTCGATGTCCTCTTCCAATTCACCCCCCTCTTGGATTGAGCCATTCTTTTCTAACAAATGTTGGTGGAGTGCAGCCATAAACCACCTGAAAAGGAGTCATACCTGTTGAGGTTTGATACGCTGTGTTATACCAGAACTCTGCCCAAGGAAGAAATTGCAACGATTTGCGAGGTTGGTCATGAACGAAACAACACAAATACATCTCAATACAACGATTGAGTACCTCAGATTGTTTGTCCATTTGCAGATGATACGTTGTGCTCATGGCTAAGGTAGTACCCTGTGACTTAAATAATTATTGCCAAAAATGACTAGTAAAAGTCTTATCTCTATCACAAATAATGGACTTCGGCATGCCATGCAACTTAACAAAATTTAGTATAAATTGATTAGCAACAACCGCACTAGTAAATCCTGATTTTAAAGGAATGAGATAAGCATATTTAGATAATCAATCTATTACCACCATAATAATCGTAAAACCATGTACAGGGGGCAAACCGGTGACAAAATCCATTGCTACATCCTCCCAAATCTTGTCGGGAATAGGCAATGGGTTCAATAGACCAGCAAGTAATGACTGAGAGTATTTATCTTGCTGACACACCTGACATTGTTGAATATAAAGTTTGACCTACTGTTTGAGGCCATGCCAGAAAAATTGCGCCAACTAGGGGTGGGCCACAGCTGCGCCATAAGCAACAGCCTCATCAGGGTTAATACTCTTGCACAAATCTTTACCATTGAAGAAAGCCTGCAATAACTGCTGCACTTTGGGAATTCTAGAAGAGCCACCAACAAGGACAACATCATGCACACTGCTTTTGTCCATCTTAGCATCAGTAAGACACTTCTCTACTGTCTCAATGCACTCTTCAAACAGCTCCATATTAATTTCCTCAAACCTTGCACGATTGATTGAAGAGTTGAAGTCTATGCCTTGAAATATAGCATCAACATCAACTTTGGTGGTAACAACACAAGAGAGTGTCCTTTTTGCCCTCTCACATGCAGTTCTCAACCTCCTTAGAGCCCTAGGATTGCCACTAATGTCCACTTTGTTTTTCCTTTTGATCTCTTCTACAACCCGCTTCACCTACTCGTTCTGTTTTCATTCCTTAACATACTGCATGCAGAAAATATAGCAGAATTTTCATCTCATTTTAAGTGTTAGAAGGTAAACAAAACTAAGAAGACAAAAAAAAAAATTAATTCAACCTTATAAAATTAACTTACTCTATAAATCCTGCCGCTCTCTACACAGCGTTCCTCGGCCACCCAGCCAGGAAGCAGCCAGCCATAGCCAGGTGAGCTCATATCGTGATAAGAAACTACAGTGTTAGGGCCCAGACGTCTATTTGCATGTAGATACTCTATTTTTTTCACCGTCACTTTTGTCATCTCAGCAATTTCTTCTGCGTTCATCTTTCTTCGATATCTTCCATTGCTAGTCATTGCTTAGAGAATACGCAGACCAAAGCAAATAAAAATTGAATGAGAAGGCAGTTACACTAGCTGTTCCTTGGTTTCCACAACTGCAACCTTGAGATATGAGATATATATACTGTCTTTATATGAAAGCCAGCATATGCATGCATACTCTTTGAAATAAGTATAAAAATACTTTTATTTTGTCCTAAATATTTTTTAACTCAATAGACAAGGGATTAATCTTATCTGCAAAATTTTCAAGATAGCTGGCCAAATCAGATTTCAACCTAGAAACTGAAATTGAATGAAAAGGGAGTTACACTAGCTGCTCCCTGGTTTTGAGTTGCAGCATTATGATATGAGATATATGACAGCCAGCATATATGCATACACCATGTGAGTTGTCTGCCGTTACTTATTAACTTATTTGCAGAAGAAAAAAAAAATAATTATGATATATAAATCTTATGTATCGGAATTAAGATTAGAGTTAATTACCTATACACTGCCAGTGTAAATTTTTTTTATATTAACAACTAATTATATATTTTAATTGTGTCATGTCACTGTTAAAAGTAAATGTATTTACAGTGACATGACATAATTAAAATATATAATTGGTTGCTATAGTGTAAAAAAACTTTACATTGACAGTATATAGATGATTAACTCTTAAGATTAACTCTGTAAAGTAATTGTACTGGTAAACAAGGTGAGATCATACCAATGAACTAAGAGTTTGTTTCTGTGGACCTAATATTATTTTTCTTTTTCTCATATTGTCTTTTTGTGAGATTTAAATAGAGATATACAGTATGTTTTTGTTTGAAAATTTTTTCTTCTACTTTTATTGTAAATTTGTGAAAATGAAGTATTCACAGGGATTAAACTATGAAAAAATAGTATAAGATATAGAATGAGTAATTTTTAAATGTAGAAACTAAAAGGTCAAGATTAATATATAGAGACAAAAAAAAATAGTTAAAATATAAGGACTAAAATGTCAAAATTTAACACATGATCAACCTCACATTAGCAATATGTTAGTGTCACATCCATGACAAGTAAGATATAAAAATAATTTTTTTAATCAAAATGCATCAATTTAATTTATTCTACAATGTTTAAAAATTAAAATTAAAATAAGTATTTTCAAAGTAAAATTAAAATAACTTTAAAACTCCAATTATTTGTAATAAAAAATAGTTATGTCTTAATAAAACAATATTATAATAATATCAAAAAATTTAAATAATAATAATAAAACTTTAATTAATATTATAAAAAATAATTATATATATATATATATAAAGAAGATAGTTGATAAAAAATATAACTTAAAAAAATTATTATTACAATGATAATATTGTTAAAAAAATGTTCATTGATGAATATCATTAGAGGAAGTGTTTCGATGTCATATAACAGTAGGTAAGTGTTATTGAATAACATTAAAAGGATTAAAAAAAGTGTTCATTAAAAAATATCATTAAAATGATTATTTTATTGTTGTATAATAACATAAAAAAAATTATTTGTGCGTTTATGTGACTAATTGTTCATAGACAAATATCCAAGAAATTTTCGTAAAAGAAGTATTTGTTAAAGAAGAATTTGTTATCAAATACCATTAAAATGATTATTTTTTGTCATTGAAAAGGTATTTTGCATTTTGTATCAAGAAGTTTGTTGACATTAAAAGAAGTGCCCTTAATTATTTCTTTCTTTTGCTATATTAGTGTTATATTTAATTCTTTGTAATGTGATTTTTTGTACTAATATTTTTTATTTATATTGATTTTACCGTAATAAAAGGATCTTTTAAAAAATATTATATTCATTATTGGTAAGTTTAAATATAATTAAAAGATTTTTGATAGAAAATTATGAAAAAATATAATTAAGAAATTCAGCTTGCTTTGTACATAAAAAAGAAGAAAAGAAAAATTCAGGTACACAAAATTGATTCAGAAATTCAAGAGTTTAAATTCAGCAAAAGTCTAGACCCAAACATAATATTACAAATAAAATACTTATAACTTTATTAGTAGATGAAAAACAACAATACAACATAAAAAGATGAACTTCATTCCACCCATAGATCCCCAAGTTTAGAAGTTCTCGCAACAATGTATAAGATCACAACACAAAGACCTGTTGAAACCAGAAAAAGAATTTTATTAACACAAGTACATAATGTTTAAAGCATGATCTACATACAGTATATGCACAAATCATAAAATCAAACAATTTACCTATTGATCTAAGTGTCCACAACAATTACTCCACGCTCCTTAAAAGCGTCTAGCACCTTTTTTTGCGTGGGATAATATTCTCCATCTGGGTCATAGTAGTACTGCATGCATAAAATACAGTAAAACCATCATCTCATTTTGAGTGTGGTAAAAGATACAGAAAAACATGCAAAGTGATAAAAGAAAAAATTGTGAGAATAAACTTAACTCAATTATATAAAATTAACTTACACGATAGATCCGGCCACTCTCTACCCGACGTTCTTCAGCTACCCAGCCAGGTAGGAGCCAACCATAGCCAACTGAAGTCATGTCATGAAAAGTAACTGTAGTGTTATGGCCAAGGCGTCTATTACTGTAAAGACACTTTATTTTCTCCACTGTCATTTTTGTCATGGCAGCAATTTCTTCTGCGTTCAGCTTCTTTCCATTGCTGCTTTCACCGTGCTCCATTGCTTAGAGAATACGCAGAACTTGAAAATTGAATGAAAAGGCAGTTACACTAGCTACTCCCTGGTTTTCAGATTCAGCCTTGAGATATGAGATATGTCCTTACGTGACAGCGAGCATATGCAATGTGTGACTATGTGCATATATAGATGTGAGTTCTCTCCCGTTACTTTTTATTTTGTCTTACTAGAGATATTTTTTTAGTCCCCTAAAATAAAGATTTATCTCACTTGATCTCACTTCTGATACTCTTATTATAATAAAAAAGAGTTTTTGATAATATTTAAAAAAATATTATCTAACTGTGTAAAAGAGTTTTTTTATATAATATTTAAAAAATATTTAATTATGTATCAAATATTGTATATAATTTATGTTGTTAAAATTTTTTAATAATATTTTTACATAATTAGACAATATTTTTCAAATGTTAGTATTTTTTGTAATATTTTAATAATATTATTAAGTTTTAGTTAACTTTATTAAATAATAATTTGTTTTAATTACTATATCATTTATATTTTATCACTTCTAGGTTTTTATGAATCTTTTAAAGTTGAAGACATCTTTAATTAATTATCACAAAATTTATATAAAATATTAAAATTCATTTAACTTAAGTATTATTTTATGATTATATATATTTTTTATGTGTCATTCATTTATTTAATATGAAATTTTAATCTTATTTAAAGTGAGATTTTAATTTTGGAAACAATTAAAAATAATAATATTAAGATAAAAAAAATATTATTTTATCTATGATAATAATTTTTTTAGAAAAAATATTATTTAATAACCTATTAACTAAATTTATTATAATATTTTAACAAAAATAAATAAATATTAGTAAAGAAATTAAATATAGTAATGTGTGACTGTATCAGACCAATTTTCAACTGAGAAACTGAAATTGAATGAAAAGGCAGTTAAACTAGCGGCTACCTGGTTTCCATATAGCCTTGACAGATATAAGATATATATATGACAGCCAACATATACATGCACCATGTGAGTTCTCTTCCGTTACTTATTAATATATTTAACGAATAAAAATAAAAATAATAATGATATATAAAATTTTAGTGGCATGGGTTTGGAGTTCTATTTATTTCATGTTTGGGATGGAGAAAATTAGAGTGAAAAGAAAATGAATGAAAAGAAATAGAAAGCAAGAAAAATGATTAGAAATTGAGTGTATTCAAGTTTTTCAAATGAAAAACATAATGTATTTTTTTCAATTAATTTTACTTATATATATATATATATATATATATATATATAAAAGAAAAAATATTTGATATAATTTTTTTAATTCTAAAAAAATTATTGGTATAATAACTAATTAGTAATTTCTAAACTTAAAAACAAAACTAGTACAAATATAAAGATTAGAACTCGAAACTCAACACATGGTTGATCCCCTATGGACGACACATTAGTGGCATATCACTACAATAAAATAGACTTTTAGTAACATTTAATATGACTTTTAGTAACAATAAAAATTGCTAAAAAATATTTTACCGGTATTTCACACATTAGTCATTGTATGCAGTGTCGCTAAAATATTTACCGATAATTATTCTATATGTTGGTAAAGACCCTCATAATGATCGTGAAAAATGTATAACTTTTTGTGTTATTTGTTACTGATATTTAAAATTGCCGCTAAAAGTTTACAAAAAGATTTAAGGACTTGTAAGATGAGTACAATTACTCTTTAGTTACCTTATTTCTAATTGATGTGAGACTTAGAAGTTGAAAGTTATCTTCTAAGTATATATTCTTTAATTTTTTTAATTATCTTATCTCTTAAATACCAACTTACAATAGTAAGTTATAAGTTTAACTAAACCTTATAAAACATACTTGTAAGGTGAGAGTTACCATTCACTTATATACTATTTAATTATTTTATTTCTAGTCGATGTGAGACTTAAATTTTTTCTAACAAATAATTGTTGCTAATAGTAAATTTTGATATGATATAAATATATTTTTAGTGACTATTATATAATAGTCATTAATATTTTTATTAAATAATAAAATAAAGATAATTAATTTATTGCTATTAAATAATTATCGATAATACTAAATTTTGTTGTAGTGTATTAATAATCATTAACAGTTTTAACTCCTTCCTTAAAAAAACGACAAAGGCTAAAAAAGAACTAATTTTTTTTTACAAAGATTAAAATGAATGGTTTTTTATGAGTAAAAAGTAAAATTAAGATAAATTTTATGAAATTATAAAAATAAAATGATTAATTAAGCGAAATAAGAAAAATAGAAAGATAAAAATGATTAAAAAATGAGTGTATTTTTATATTGTTTAAATTGAGTGAAAACTAAAAATAAAAAATAAATAAATTTCCTCTTTATTTATTAAAAATTAAAATGGAAGGGACGAGTAGTCAACAAGTTTTTGTAACTCCTTCAATAACTCCTTTTCTTTATTAGCCAAATTTAATACATTTTGGATTCCAAAATTGAAATTCAAATTTCAATTAAACTTACATTACAAGAAAATATTATATATAATGACATACAAAAGGTACATATAAATATAAATTTATTTAATATATAATTACATATTTATATTTTTAATAATATATTAATATATATTATATTTATATTATAGATATATATATATATATCATTAATTTTTTTTTAGTACAATAACAAATCATACCATTTCTGACTACGTCAGGATAAATTAAAAGTAACATTTGAATTGGCAAGATTAAGTGAACTATAACTTAGATGAAAACTAAATTTAACGGAAGCTAATCAAATGTTAACTCAATTGCTAATTATGAATTCATAAATGAATTAGAAGGAAATAATTTAAAATGTCTAAAAAAAATTCAATTACAAAAAAGTTTCTAAAATTGTACTCTTTGAAATAAGTATAAAATATTATTATTTAAAAAAAAACTGTGACATGATAAGATTAATTTTTTTACCAATACGAAACATAATTAGTATAAACTAATTATAATTAATACTTTTTTTTCTCACTTTCACAGTCTATTCTTTCACTATTAGTTTGCAACAAGGTTTCAATTAACTGTAATCAGCATAACTTTTTTAGCGAAACTTACACTAAAATGCACACATATTTATTAATTACAATTTTCATGAAATTAAATTAAATTATATCTTACAATTATTTTTATCAATTTATTAATTTTTTTACACCATCAATTTATTAATCTTAGAAGGTAAAAAGGAACTTTTATATTGATATTCTCTATTTAAGTAACTAAGAAATAAGGCTTATAATAACTTAAGCTCTTTTAGAAATTACGATTAAAGTAATTTAGTAAAAAAGATAACAAAATCATAATTTATTAATTTTGAGTTATATTGAAAATTTTGAAATTACAATCTAAACCTAACATAGTTTAGTTAATTGTCAATTGTCTTTTTTTACATATCATGATTAAATTTATTTCATATTTTTAATACATTTTACATTTGAATTTAATTTAATTTTTGCTTAATTAATAATGAAAACAAGTTACGCTAGATATTGAAGACTCTTGGAAAATGAAATTTACTTACTATTGTTATAAATTTGTACAAAATATACAATTTTAAAAGTTAAATAAAAAATTTGAGATATCATAAAATGAGTGATAAAAAACATAATTAAATCTTATTATTATTTGGATGAGTTGATAAGGTTAAATGTCATTAACCTGTTAATTAACCTAATTGTAATTGGATCACAAAAAATGTGTAACCTAAACACCTAATCCAACTCACTAAAATATAATTGGATTCACAAATCAATTTTTAGTCACTTACATCTCTTTTTATTAATTACGCCAATAAATATACAATTTTGTATATTTTAAAAATTAGTTAATAATTTATCATATTATTTTATTTTAATATATAATATGATATTTTAATATATAATATGATGTTCAAAATATATATAAATTATTTGATAAGATATATAGAACAATCTAGATTCCATATAATATTGATATACATGCTTGTAAATATAATATAGGTGAAAATCTATGTTATAAAAAAAGGTTATTAAAAGTGTAATTTATTAACTTCAACATCAAATTAATATTAAATTTTATATATATATATATATATGTGCTATTAAAATTTAAATATGAATTCACTAGTGTTATATAAATAAACTAATTTAATTATCAATATTGATTGTTGAAGTAAAATATAGTCCTAAGAAATTCAATTTTTTTTTTTTGAAGTATATATATTTTTAGCGAGAAGAAAAAGATTGGGAGGGGAATAATAAATATATCGTCAATGTTATGAATAAGAAAGAATTTTTTTTAAAAATTTATGAGAATAAATAAATAAGTACAAATGACAAGGTTCATAAAAACATTAATTATATAATTGATAGATGTGTCATGGTACTACATTTAATATCTTTAGCAACATTTATCTATTTACATTTATTAAAATGATATTGTAGATAAAGTAACATAATTTTATCCCAATATTATTTTTTATAATTGTCTTCAAAATTATTTTTATATCGAATAAAAGAATGATGTATAAAAAATAAATTTTTTAATATTTATTTATTTTTTAAAATTAAAGTCTCACATCAAATAAAAAAATGACACATAGAAAATATATATAATAATAGAATGAAACTTAAAATAGATAAACTTTAATATGTAATCAAAATTTAGTATTGATTAACTTTGAATATCTTCTATTATTAAAAGATCAAAAAAAAAAAAAAAACTTTGAAGATCTCCCATCTTAAAGAATTTTTATAGACAACAGTCATAAATATAAGTGTGGTAGTACAATTTAACTATCTCTTTATAAATTTTACAAACTTAGTGACATTATTAAAGTTTTATAAAATATCACTTTAATAATATTTTTAAAAATCTTGTCATTAATACACTAGTATAAAAATTAGTTTTAAGATCGATTATCTAATAATTGATCTTAAAAGTGGTGCGGCGACACTTTTGTAAATAAGATTATAACTTTTAAGATCAGTCACATTTTAATCGATTTTAAAAGTAGCGCAGTGACATTTTTGTAAATAAGATTACAACTTTTAAGATCAGTCATATTTTAGCCGATCTTAAAATTACTTTTAAGATCGGCTAAAATGTGACCGATCTTAAAAGTTATAAACTTATTTACAAAAATGATACTGCATTACTTTTAAATCTTCTCTCTGATTGCCGATTTTAAAAGTTATAAACTTATTGACAAAAATGATACTGCATTACTTTTAAATCGGCTCTCTAATGACCGATCTTAAAAGTTTATTCTAAAAAAATAAGTGTATATATACAATAACAATACTTATCTTATTTTATCCATATCATTAGTTAAAACTTAAAAACTTATATTTAAACAACAAAAGTTATAAAATTAGAGAACCAATCATTTAAAAAAAAAATTCACAACTTTTAAGATCGGTCATGGTAATAGCTGATCTTAAAAGTCTAGCTTTTAAGACAGCTATTAACATGACCGATCTTAAAAGCCCAACTTTTAAGATCGACTATTGGCGTGACTGATCTTAAAAGTTGAACTTTTAAGATCGGTTATTAGTGTGACCGATCTTAAAAGTTAAACTTTTAAAATTGGCTGACGACCGATCTTAAAAAATTCTACTTTTAAGATCATCTCTTTTAAGATTGGTCAAAGAATCGATCTTAAAACTAAAAAATGACCGATCTTAAAAGTTAAACTTTTAAAATTGGCTGACGACCGATCTTAAAAAATTCTACTTTTAAGATCATCTCTTTTAAGATTGGTCAAAGAATCGATCTTAAAACTAAAAAATGACCGATCTTAAAAGTATTTTTTTTACTAGTGATAAGTAAAATATTATTAAAAATCTTTAATAATATAAACTTTATCTTACAATTTGATAAAATATCGTAAAAACATGTGACAGAAAACACATTTTGTTATACTAATCAACTTTTCAAATCATATTATAATCAGAATCCATGTGACAAAAAATTTTAAAAAAATTATATTGTAGATAAGAAGAGAATCATTCATGGATTGGTACGTAATACTTTCAGCGGTCTGAGTCATAAAAAAATTGTGGTGACTTAACATTGTGTGAAATTGCAGAAGAATGCTGTGGACACAATTGTAATTGTGATGAAATGCAAATCCTTTACTTTGCACCTTAATTTAAACCACGGTTACATCCAAAATGTCAAAGCAAATTACCATTAAAGAAGTAAAGTTGAAGAGATACATAAATTACTAGCAGTAACTGCTAATTTGAACGACATAGATTTTATGAAAGGGGCATTGTTTCATCAACTTGAACGGGATGGAATAACTTCATTGACAATAACATGATATTCTGGGTCACCAAGCCAAAGCATTGCAAGATGAATTGGTGAAGTGCAAGTCCTATGAACTGTTTCAACTTTCCATATAGCGTCTTCAGCGTCACGCCAACTCAAAATGGTATTCAATGGCTTCCCTTCATCTTCACTTCCAAATCTTGACTTATCCCATTCCTTACAAAGCATGTAAGTAAGATAATGTAACGGTTGTCTATACAATCGCTTCAAGTTTTGGGCCAAACCTTTCCAATTCACAAACACTATTGCGTCCAGATGACCTGTTGGAAGAGGAATTTTCTTCATGTGCTCTTGGTATTTCTTTGCAAGCTCCACTAAAGCATCTGCATTAAAAGCACAACAGTTCTTTTCTTTCACATTAAATGTTTTGGGATACTATATGTAGCTATGTTTATAGGTTTTAATCTCCATCATTGATTTTTGATTTTTTACCAAAATCAGTTCAATTACAGTTTCACACTGAATAAAATATCAAATTGGGTAGGGTTCATATATACCAAAGAGTAAGTCATAATTTTTCTTCTAATTAAATTATATTGTGAGTGTCAAGAGGAAGTCAAGAAGATTTCAGGATGTATATCAAATAAAAAAACTGAGATAATAAAATGAGAATTCTTAGATTTATTGCCCTAGTCATATATTGATTCTTACTCCTGTCGATTACGTACCAGTATAGTATCAATATTGACCACATTTGTATATATTCTGAATTATATAATAGATAATTAAATATTCAAGACTCGAGAGAAAATACAAAATTCACTTCAGTTATCTCTACCAACAATTTTGAAAGGACTCAATCTCTATGGTCGAATAAACTAATAGTTAAAGACTAAATCATTATGTTGAAATGAAAAGATTAAATTATTGAAATTTCATTTGGATAAATTAAGTTAAAAAAACTAATAGTTAAAGACTAAATCATTATAATTATTTTTAGATATGATTGAGTAAAATTAAAATGATGTAATTTTTCCCCTCAATCATTGTCATCCTATAGTATAAATGCAATACAAATTTTTTACCAACTAATAAAAACATGATTGAATATAAATTAGAAGTATTTTTAATTTTTTTTTACTAAAAATAAAGAGAATTTTTCAACAAATAAACTTTGGAAAGTACTTCAAAACTTATATATAAACAAATTTAAATTAACAACACATTAATGTAATTACTCATTTAAATTTAAGACCTTAACACATGATCATAAACCATTATTTCTTTTTCAAGGAAGATATGTCCTATTCAGTGAAGATCCTATTCGAGGTTAAATGTTTTATTTATTTCAACAAATTAAGGAGTTGTATAGCTTGGTATAATTTGGATAAAAACTGGAAAAACTAGCTATGACTCAAATCTTTAGATAGATCTTATATAAATGAACTCAAATTCTACTTATCACAAATTAATCAAAAAATTTATGATATGAAAAGTTGTAAGAAAAGCCTGTTAAGTTAAATTGATTATGAAACTGCATAAAAAATGGATAGATTTTATTAACCTCGATCAAGAGTACTAGTGTGTTTGGACTTGAATGGTCTAGCAACTTCGTCAGCTTCGTCAGCTGAAAGCGATTTCTTCCCCTTTCCGTTGTTTCTCTTCCCTCTAGGGTTCCTTCTCCTTGATCCACCAGCAACAGCAATTTCAGTAAGCCTATTATCGGACTCAGTTTCAGAGTCCGACACCAACATGTGTTTGTAGCTATAAGCACCATGACGCCGTAACATTCTGAGTATGTCACGAATTTTGGTAATGAGGTGTGTGAGATTATGTGCCTATGGCAAATGCTTTATATAATCTCCCTGTGTTTAAGGGTTTCATTTTAATTAATTATTTTAGTTTAAAGCTACTTCTTATCTCTTTGGCAGTGTGTTTGGTAATTGATAAATATTCAAACTCAGGACACACACACAGCAGTTTCTTAAGACATCTGCAGTTTCTCCCCCCCGTGAATTTATTTGAATTTTGATTAATATTTATATAACCGTTGGAAAATTTAACAATAATTAGAAGAGCTTATATGTCACTTTTTTGGAATTTCTTTTTTCTATATAGTTGAAACTTTGTAAATAGAAATATATCTAAAACATTTATTAATAGATAAAAAAAATATAATGAATTTTTATTATATATGAATTTAAAAATATATTTACTAGATATAAAAATGATAATATTATATGTAAAATATTGTACTTATGAGCATATAAATCAATTGATATGAAATTATTTTAGCTTAATTAATAATCTTAAGTTTGACTATGGAGATACATTAAATACATGAAGAGAAAACTTTGTTGTCTATATTAGTCTTACTCTATTTGATCATATAGACAAAAAAATTGAGACTAATTTCTACACCTATTTAATCTTAGATAAAAGAAAATCTATATTGTATATTAATTAAAAGGTGAGACATAGAGTAAAAGAAAAAAAGAATAAAGAAAATTATAATACTTTTTTATTATTAAGTACAAACTATAAAAAAAAACATTAAAGGTAAAATGGGAAGAATTTCTGTGTACATATTACTACAAAAAATGTAATATTTAGTGTCATTATAAGTATAATACATGTAAGTATATATTTATTTGACATATTTATTTGACATATTTATTTGACATATAGCTACACACAATTTAAGTATTAATTTTGAATGTGATTTAACAATATATTTTGTGTATCACTATACCCTATATCAATAATTTTTAACAATATACCAACATAAATTGTATTTAGTGAGTGAGTAAAAGTATTTTTTAGTGACATGTATTGTATCACTGTAAAATGTGTCACTATATAATAATTTGCTTGTAATGATATATACCAAGTATACATATTAGTTAGAGAAATACCTCTATATATACATGTAAGTATATATTTATTTGACATATAGCTACACACAATTTAAGTATTAATTTTGAATATGATTTAACAATATATTTTATGTATCACTATACCATATATCAATAATTTTTAACAATATACCAACATAAATTGTATTTAGTGAGTGAGTAAAAATATTTTTTTAGTGACATATGTATTGTGTCACTGTAAAATGTGTCACTATATAATAATTTTCTTGTAATGATATATACCAAGTATACATATTAATTAGTTAGAGAAATACCTCTATATATAGTTGAAAATTTTAAAATATTACGATTTTTAAAAAATAAATAATAAGGTGAGACACAAACTAGCAAGAACAAAGAAAATTATAATATCTTTTATTAATTACAAATTTAAAACTGAAACAAATTAATTACAAATTCAATTTCAATCTTTAGGTAAAAGATATTTTTAAAGTTTAAAGGATTTAAAACATGAGTTTAATTTTGTTGCACTGTATCACCGTAAATATTTTTAAACTTCTCACCAACTATAAGTCAATCCATATAATATATTTAAAGTAATTGTTACAAAATTCTGACAATTTTATTATGCATTGTAAATCATGTTTTTATTTATTTAATTTTATTAAGCAAAATTACAATAGTTTTAAATTTAGGAGTTTGTGTATATTATCCCAATCTTTTATCAATATGTCTATCTTAATGAATCTCCATATCTTTATATTATGGTGAATTTATTTTCCTACTCATAAATAAAATGCCATCAGTGAGTCCATAAAATTTTAAGTTTATATTTTTTTTTCTCTCAAATTTAAAATTTAAATTTAACTTTTAATTTTTTTATTATAAAATATATTGTTTTAGTTCTTAACTGTATATATTTTTTTAGTTCATCAAATTTAAAAGTTGTATTTTTAGTTCCCAAAATATAAAAAAAAAATATATAATAGTAGTCTCTCTTCTCAAATATTGTTAATTAATAAAATTTTCAAAAAAAACCAACATATTACTAAAAATCTTTTACTTGTGTCATTACTAGTGAAAATATCATGTTTAGGGGTGAGCAGAAATTCCGTCCCCGACCGAATCCGAAGTGCCCGCAGGTAAGTTTCTTTGTGCGGCCGGTTTTTTGCGGTTTCTCAGTTTTTTGGGTTTGTTAGAGTCGGTTTATTATGGGTTTTGTTGGTCGGGTTCGGATTAAAAAATTTGAATCCGTAGATATCCATACCCGACCGACCCAAAATAATTCAAAGGTGTATATTTATTCTTTTAGCACCGCGAGAGGAACCCTAGCCGCTGCTCACGAAAGTGACGAAACCTTCTCTTCTTGTGCTCAGAAAACCTAACCACCGCCGCTCAGCCTCAACGCCCTATTAAGCTTGTTCTGAAGAACAAACTTGTCCTTGATTTCAGTGGCGACCTTGAGGCGGTTCAGAAGCTCGCCAACATTCCCACCGCGTCCTTCCTTGTGTGTCGGAGATATAAAGCGAGTGCACCGGAAGACTGGGGAATGGGTTGAGTAAACTCCCCTGGGGCCGGAAGGGAAGGAGGTCCTCATACGGAGTCGCACACTTACTTGAGCAGTGCGGAAGACTGGGGAATGGGTTGAGTAAACTCCCCTGGGGCCGGAAAAATAACAGACGAAGCCTTGATTTTGGCCATCCACTTGAAGGCGTCGTCTAGGGTTTCGGCGTCGGTGAAGCTCTGGAGGAGGTGCTGGTAGCGCTCGAACTTGCGCTCGAATCCGACTAGACCGACCCGGTTAATCCGAGACCCGACAAATCCGAACCCGATAAACCCGAAACATTGTTAGGTCGAAAATGGGTTAAATTTTTTTTTGGTCGGTTTGGATTGGGTTAAATATTTTTTACCCAAACCCGTCCGAACCCGACCCGTGCTCAGGCCTAATCATGTTAAATAGATTGATATTATATAGCTAACTTAATCTATTACTGTTAATTATGCTATTAGTGTTCATAAGAGACTAAAATATTTATTTTTTGAAATTTCATGTACTAAAAAAATAAATTTTAAATTTGAAGAATCAAAAGAAATTTATCCCAAATTTAAGAGACTAGAATAATAATTTTTGATATTTTAGAGATTAAAAACACAAGTTTTACATTTAGAGAAGCAAAAAATATATATCCAAAATTTGGAGGACTAAAAATATAAATAAGTCTTTTATTAAATATGAATTTAGAAAGCTAACAATTATATGTAAAAAAAAAAAATACACCTAGTTATTCTTGGAAACTATTATTTTTACAATTAAAAAAATATTTGAAAAATTAATCAGGTAAAAGAAGAAAAATATATTTTTTATTAAATGCAAATTCAAAAATCCAACCACTAAATGCGAAAATGGAAAGAATTTCTATATACTTCTTCATTAGAAAAATATTTCTTTGATTACTTATTTTTATTAGATATTAAGGTGATATATAGACTAACAGAAAGAAGAAAGAAAATTATAATAGCTTTTTTATTCATTACAAAATTTAAAATTCAAGTGATTAATTTCAAATTTAGTAGATTTCTTTAGGAAAATAATATCTCTTCAGTTGAAAAGTTTTAAAGATTAAACAAGTTTAAAACATGAGTTGAATTTTGATGTATTGACATAATCTTTTTACATTTCAAAATTACTAGAAATATAACTTTTAAAATAATTATTATAGAAGTAGCTAGCAATAGTGTAACATAATAATTTTTGTATGTATATACTTATATACTTATATGATTAGATGATGTGTGTTATAATATTTTTGTATTTTACTTATTTGTTAAGGACTCTACAGATCAATCAAGAAATTTTTTAGAGCTTGGTTAGTGTGAGATGTTATCAAATTTGATTGAGAAATGAGACATGTATATAAGGAATACTAAAAATATAAATTTCATAAGTTTCATGTTCAGGAGCTTCAGAGAAAAGTTAGAAAGAGAAGTTTTGGAATCAAGAAAGTCTTTTCTTCACTAGATCCTTCTATAAGAGCATCTATATCCTTCCTTGGAGTTGAGTTTATGTTGCAAAGCAAAATCTCAAGTCTTATAAAACTTAAATTTTTTTAGAGAAGTTGACCTAGAGAGTTTCGTTGTTCTCTCCATTTTATTCTGACTTTATCTTGAAGAAGCTAATTAAAGTAAAGGAGGTTTATATTTTAATTTATTGAAACTCCATTTATTGATGAAGAGTTGAAAGATATTCGTAAAAGATGGACATTCACTTGTCTTGAGTGAATTTAAGGATTGATTTTATATTTTTGTACATTGTTTTAGTTTTTTTTTCTTCTATATTGGTTAATTTATTTTAGATTCATTGTTGTTTGATAATATTGACACATTTTTATACTAGTTATTGTTATTAATTTATGATAGTTATTGTTAACTTTAACTTTATTTATTGTCAACTCTCTTTGATTGCTAACTAATTTAATTAGTTTGTACATTATTTGAATTTAAATGAGAGAAATTATGTTTTACATAAATATGTATTAATGTGAACAACAATATGCTATAATGAATTGCATGGATTGTATTTTTATTTTGTACAAGTTTAGAAAAATTTTAAAAATGAACAAAATATTAAAAAACAAAATATACTTTCTATGATTAATGTGACTTTACCCATTATAGAATGTGCCACATTCTATAATGAGTGTGACCATACTCGACATAGAATATATATTTTCTATATTATGTATAATCACATCTAATATAGAAAGTGAGTGACAATGTCATTAAAACATCACATTGACACTTATACTATGATTAACATCGATCACTTGACATTAAAAAGTGAACTATTTATATTGTGTGTTGACTTGTTATATAAATATTTATATAAATTATAGTGACACACAATATATATTAAATTTCATTTAAAATTAA